GACATAAAGCTTTTATAAAAATTTTATTGGAATTTCTCTTCCTTCTTAAATGTTCATGAAGAATGGCTTCTTCTCACTACAAAAGAAATATTTTGACAGAATCATAAAATTAATATGAATTCAAAAAATAGCAGATCCTATGAGACCAAATTGTAAACAAAATATTGTAGAGAAAAACAAGACATGTGAAATTTATGTGAAAATTTCATGTGATTTCGACACAAATTTTGTATGAATTTTACATGAAGAGCATATCGCATAAAAATTAAAGTTCAGATGAAAGTTTAAAAAAAGATTTGTGTGAATATCATATAAACTTACATTCACACAATAATCACATGAAAATATATTCATACAGTTTTTATATGATTTTCACATAATTTTCAAATAAAAAGATAATCACATGAATATATTATAAACCGTTTCCCTGTGTATACTGCGAAGATACAACACAATGTAGTTCAACTTCTGTGATGTATTATACTTGCATTATTCATCCTTATAAAATTTGTACAGTGTGACATAAAGATAAACATTAAAGAGAGATTGACAATAAAATAAAAAATTGTTAAAAAAAACATTAGAAGAAACACTTTTTCCCCAAGGTGCAGTATTGATGAATGAACCTTGTGACGGTATATATTGCCGTTTTGTACATCTTGACATTGGCGTCAGTTCTGCTGTTTACTATTACATGTCACTTGCAAATTTTGACTAATCATTGACTTAAGTTTATTAGGAGAAATTTTTAAACAATACCGGTATTTCTATATGTTTCTGTCTAACACCCAGATCCGCTATGGTCTCATCTTTAGCCTAGGGCTCATTATTCGTCTTTACACCGACAAAAATGTTTACATTTCTATATGTTTCTGTCTAACACTCTGATTCCCAATCATGGTTACACCTTAAGCCGGGGGTCATGATTGTAATCTAAACTACCTGAGGACTCTGCCATATAAATATCACGAATCATGAGCCTGATCTAAGTGATGGATGCATGTAAATCCATTAATTTCAGTACGTGGGAGGGTGATGCAGAACATCTTTTGTTTTTTATGAACAAAAAAATGTCAGTTATGTCGTTGACAACAATATGTTTTATCCTTACTGCATATATTGTTGTCCATCGGTACATATTGTTGCCGGAGGCAATATGTCCAGAACGAAAAAAATATGTTCCATGGCAAACCTAAATTTATATTTAGTGTGATCATTCCAAAAATCTAGCTTTATCACATACTCTTTTGTTATTTAAACTTGTTTTGTTTCGAGGTTTTAGAGTTATAGGCGGGAAATACGATGACATCAAATAAAATGAAAGCCGATATATATATTTTTTTGGTTTAAGATCATTCAAAGACTTGAAGGAGGTCAATTGGATGGAGAAATAGATTCTCTACAAAACAAAGATTTAGATCATTCAGCACGGTCCTCTGTTAAACAAAGTCTGTCAGTTTTGACAGAAAGACTTCAAAACTTAGAAAAACGCGTAGAGGATCACATACAAAAGAACATAAAAGGTACATATTCTATTATCTTAAACTATAGGTATGGTTCAGTAGTGAGTTTTAAGTTTTGAAATCAAAACGAGAAAAGTCATATTTCATTTTATTTATATTTTGCGTCATTTTGCTTTCACATCTTCGCACTGTGGTAGTTTCTATTTATGGAGCAAAGGTTAAATATATTTGAATTAAATTCTCTGTGTGAGAGGGAGTGTGTTTGGGGGGGTTAAATGTGAGTGTTCGTGTTTTGGATGTGTGCCTGTTCGTGTGTGGGAGAGGGTGTATGTGTGTTAGGCTAGGGTGTGTGGTGAATCTGTGGTTTCCATCCTAAATCGTAAAAAGTATGTAAAAATGCGTACAAGAAGCCACTGTTATCGAAAAAAACCTGTCAAAGATATGATCGAGGCTATCATTTGGCAATCGCTTGATTAATATGTTAATAACACAGAAACTTGTGAAAAGGTATTTTGTTTCTTGCTCAGAACAACTTCAGAGAAAAGTAGGAAAGTGGAAAGAAGATGACAAGCTTTTTGCAAACGTTCCTGCTTATCAGTCAGTTCGTGATAAGCTCAAGTCCTTGCCTTTCGTGACAGTGACTGGTAGTGGAGGTAGAGGAAAAAAGTTCCTCATTCGTCACATCGCTCTAGAATTTGCACATAAGTGATATAAGATCATACCAGTTTCAGCAATTGAAGAGATCACCCTTTATTGAAAACTTTATTTAAAGCAATTATTCGTTATAGATGAGGTGCTAGGCGTATATGGTCTAGAAATGAAGAAACGCGCACGCTAACTCTCGATTCCCGCCTACATTTTGGAACCATTTAATTCAATATGAATAGCAATTTGGTCATAAAATCTTTGTTTAATACAAAGAACAGTTCAATGGTAATTGATAAATCGTCTGAATACCAGCGCTAAACAGTAAATTATCCATAATTCCAGCTCTTGAAAAAAGGGGGGTAGACAATTTTTTCCATTAAAATCGGAGTTTCAAGCATCACTGTATTTTGAAATAGTCTTGGATTTGATTAAATGTTCCTTATATCTTTTCTTATGTTTTAGGCAAATAAATAAAACATAAATTTTTCAATAAAATATAATGTTTCAGTTGTATATCGCTTTGAAATTGGTGGAAAATAAGCATTTTTATCGTTTTTTGTGAATAAACATATGTTCCCCCCGTGTCACACAAAAAGCTTTGGTATGAATTTGTGAAATACCATTCCATATTACAGTAAAACACGGTTATAGCGAAGTCCTGGGGACCTGTTAATTTAATTCGCTATATCCGTAATTCGTTATATCCGTATAACGAATTCGTTTAACCATATATAGCGAATTCACAATATGCATTTTTTCCTTCAAGTGTTACTATCAAATATGTTATATATATATATAGGGAAGCAAATATTACAAAACATACCTTCGATAACTAAGGTTTTATTATGAATTGAATTTTATATACAAATGCTGAGAGAAAATAAAGTCGGTTCAATTATTCAAATTTTGAAATCTTTGAAAGTTCGTTATAAAAGATGTAACATTCATTTTATTTAACCTCAACGGGACTCAAAATCAGTTCGCTATATCCGTAAATTCGTTATATCAGAGTTCGTTATAACCGTAAAATTTTACAAAGATTTGTTAAGAATTTTGCCGGGGACCCAGAAACACTTCGTTATATCCGTGAATTCGCTATATCCGTGTTCGTACTAAACGTGTTTTACTGTACCTGTAAAAAGGAATTTTTGTGACACGGGGGGGGAAAGATGTTTTAAAAATATTTTCCGTTTTCCATTGATTTCTATAGTAAAAAACACAAGTTTTACCAAAATTTTAGAGTTATCTCTCTTTGTTTTCCCAAATAAGTAATGTTTTATGAAAATTCATATAATTATCTATAAAAAATAATAAAAATTCATCGAATATGTTAACTTTTGAAAATTGACTTGGAGGTTGGCGGGAAAACAATACTATCGTTCGCAGTTCTTTATTTAACAATCTAAGCAGACAGTTTGAAAATGTGTTAAGGTTATTGGAGTCGGGATCTAAACTACTCATTAGTTGCAGGTCTGCTGTTTTTAAGGAGTCCAAGTCTTTAAATACATTTGTTACAGATATCAATCATGTCATCGATTTAGATGACGAAGAAAATGAGCTCAATGATGAAAGCATGAAAAATATATTAGAAAATCACTTACAGAAAAGATACTTTGAAGATTTAAATCTACCGAGAAAATTGCCAATGTTTCCATTGCTATGTAGATTATTTTCGCCTGATAAAAAAATATCAGTCTGAGGGTGAAAATTTCTTTCTACATCCCTACCAGTGTATATTTTCAGATCTTGATAAGATGCGAAAGCTCAACAAACTACATTATGAAGGCTTGGTGTACTGTGTCATCAACGATAATTGTATCTCTCCAAAGTCTTTAGATAGGAAATGTCTGAAAGAAGTCTATGAACGTTGTAGATTAAACAGGTCAACATTTAATTCAGAACTTGAAGATGCAATGCAGGTATTGGTGGGATCTTATCGGATGCAGGACACCGATGGTAAATACTCTTTCATTCATGACAGCTTGTTCGAAATAGTGGCAGTTCACTTTGGAAGATGTTTTCAAGACTTTTTTTTATTGAACATTGTACCTCTACCTCTATTTACAACCTTTTAACATTCGTTGAGGAGGGGTCAATATGTAGTGAAAATCTTATTCCTGTCGGTGTTGTACACTTTCCTGTGTTGGTAGACCGAATTATTTGTGACATAAAACGATTCAATCTTTATGAAGTGTTTAGCAGAATAGGGCAATTTTCACAAAACGAAGCAGTTATCTCGATATTTTGTAAAACGTTGAAAAAATTCAGTTATGATGATATTAAGCATTTATTTTTTGACATCGAGATTGCGAAACACTTAAATAAAAAGACAAAAAACTTTTTCATGACCAAACCTTTGAACATTTAGAAAACATTTTAGAAGTTAGAGAAGATATTGCAGTCAATTTCATGCTTTATTTTTTGGACACATCTCACACTCGAGTTGTAAATTGGATAATTGCATATAAACATGTTGGTTTACTCTCTGGTCTCATGGAAATTGTCAGGGAAAAAATTCAAATTGTCGAAGAAAAGGTTTATCTCACTGATAAAATTGATCAGGACATTTTCGGAGTAGTGTTTGGCAATGATATAAAATCACAGTCCTCTTGTTTAAGTGCAGCGTGTTCTAGCAGCAGTCTGGATATAGTCAAACTGGTATTGAGTTGTGTGAAACATGAGTGTATTAATTACATTGATGATCAGGATTTGTGGCCATTACCGACTGCTTCTACTGTTGGTTGTACTGACGTTGTCAAATTTCTGCTTAAAGAAGAAGCAAATGTCAATTTGTATGATGAAGAATGTAATTCATGCTTGTTTTATTCTTGTTTTTATGGCCGATACGATGTAGTCGAGACATAAATCAAAGAAGGCGCTGATGTTAATATGTGTACGACAAATGGGGACCCTCCTCTCACTGCAGCTATACTATCAGGAGACGCATGTCTTGTGAAGCACCTTATTACAAACGGTGCTGTTATCAATCATTTGAACAAAGACGACCTGTCCCCATTGCATTTTGCAGCCTGTGTCGGAAATCTAGATATTTTTAAACTTTTGATTCAGAGTGATCATGAGGTACATGTTGATACCACGTGTCTATCTACCGCCTGTAAAAATGGTAAGATTAGTGTTGTTGAGTATCTAATCGATAAGGTGGATATCAATAAAGTTGATGACAATTGTCCTCCTGCACTTCATTCTGCTGCTAGTTCAGGTCATCTTGGTATTGTAGAATATCTTGTAGAACATAGTGCTAATGTCAATCTGTGTGACAAAAACGGACATACTCCATTATTCTTCGCATCAAAATCTGGACATCTGGAGACTGTCGGTGCTAGTTGTCTATCTTCCGTTTGTGGAGGCGGTCATTTAGATGTTGTAGAATTTCTTATTGACAAGATAGATGTTAACAAGGTCAATGACATTTGTGATCCTCCACTCCATTGTCCTTGTAGTGAAGGCCATCTCAATATTGTTAAATATTTAGTAGAGTACGAGGCAGAGATTTATTTGATAAGTTTCTCTAATGACAGTCCACTATGTTGTGCTGTAGAGAGTGGACACTTTCCAGTTGTTGAATATCTTGTAGAACATGGTGCTGTCATGAGCAAGGCTATTGAAATTGCAACGAAACGTGGTCAAAAGGATATCCTAGATTTTATGTTCATTTAAACATAAAGAAAATAAAATATTTCTTGTTATTTATAAGGTTTAAAAGATAGCATTATCTTATCTGTATATAACTACATAAAAGATAATCTGATCATGTTTAAAGTAAAGTTACCATCATCTGTATATAATCTTGTATTACCGATTTCTGTATTTTTTGACTTGAATAACCGATATTAATAAAAGACTCATATCGACTCTATCCTTTTCAATAATTGAAACCAAATTAACATTCAGAGAATTGAAATTTCTTGCATACTTCAATTGCTATAACATAATCATCTGTGATGCAATGTACCTTGCGATTTTATTCAGTTCCAACATCGGCATTTTGGGATAGTAAAGACATATATGTAAATAATCATGTAATGTTAAAGTTAGGCTCGATGAAATAAGTTATATTTCACTTTATTGATTTTTACAAAAATCCATTTGGGAAAAGGCAAATATTTGTAAAGTGAAATTTTAGATTAACCCAAAGTTAGTCCATTGAATATATTGCACAGTTGTTCGTTTTATATTAGCCCAGCATCCGAATTATGGAAATTTGTTTTTGAATAGTGTACTTATCCCAATATGTTTCCTGTTATATAATGCATAGTTTTTTTCTGACATAAAAAAATTTTATAGACTTCTTTTTTGTCTGCATAAATACAAAAAGTGGTCTAACGTAAGCCCGACTTTATTTTTTTATTTCAATATATTTAATTTTAATCATCTACTCTTTGTCGAAAACTTGCATCAGTCCCTTGGCGTTTTGATTATTTTCGCATTTTGCCTTTTTTCGGAACTATCGTTTTTCTTATTTTATTTTTTTTATGCATAAATAATATTATTGTCACTGTTATCATTTTTTTTTAAATCACAATCGTGTTTAACAAGTTTCCTTTTATTTCACTCGAACAAGTAGAATGTAAATGTTTGCATTACATCTTACATGTATACACTGCAGAAAAAATAAGCAAAATGGGTTTATCAAATGGAAAGGCTATCTTCTGTTAATCGAATATTGAGAGTAAAAAAACATTATTTTACGAATGTAATCACGCTAAACCATTTTTAGAATTAGTACATTTTTAAAAGTATTTCCAGCAACCATTTTTTGTCTGTAAATTTTTCACCTCTTAGACTTACCCTACGGAACTACATATACTAAGACAATGAATTTAATTAAATCTGATGAAAGTCTTGTTTAACTCAGATTCGCTGGTAAACCCATAAATATATTTACACAGATATTGATGTTTTACATGTGTATACAACTGGTTAATACGAAAATCAAGAAACAGTATACATTTATTGACCGAGTTCAAATGGAGTACGTATTTTCTCGGACCAAATAGTTTTTTAAGGGGCCGACAAAATGCATTTTGCCCTAGAACACCGTTAAGAAATGTTTTGTTATATATTACTGTTTTTTGACATATCATGATGCAGATTTCGTCTATCCGCATTTAATTTCTATCCATTGTCAACGACCTCAATAAGATATACCGGTGGTTATGACGTTATGGATCCAGCATTGCAACAGGTCAAACATCGATCTCACTCTGATCTGCAGTCAAACGTCGATATTGAAGATGAATCTATGCAGAGATCCCTTATCTGCTAATTTCATCCAACTCGAAGTGGATATTCAACCCACCATATTCTGCATATTATGATGAAGCATGGGAACGACTGACTGGGGTTGTGAAGAGTATTCATTACTCGATGTCGTCTAACCAGCATAACTTGGTTCATGATCTGTTGAACACTCTAATGGCTGAAGTATCAGCCATTGTTAATGCCCGACCTCTGAATTCCGTATCGTTTGATCCGAATAACCCCACCATACTATCACCATCGCTATTACTCACGCAGAAGTCTCACAAGTATGATGTTGGATACTACAAGTATTGGGTCAATCAGTTCAAAGGACATTCTGAAGAGCGAGTGGAAACGCGTACAGGGTTTAGCTAATACTTTCTTGTCTCGCCTGAAATGTGAATATCTTCAACCACGTCGGAAATGGAAATCTGATAAACCCTATGTCAGCGAATGTGCCAAAGTTCTTTTCAACGATGCAAACTGCGCTAGAAATCAATGGCCGTTGTCAATCGTAGTGAAAACATTTCCAAGTGAGGACAACTGTTTCGTAAGGTTCAAGTGAATACTGTGAAAGATGGAAAAATAGAGGGTGTACATAGGCACTGCCTGTTGCCCAATCCTTATTGAAATACTCAACAAAATATGTTTAAAGTAAAAATATCTTTGAATATTAGATCAGTAACAGAGATTGTACATCGTGTGTCTTTGTATTGACAATATTCATTTGATATAGAGAATGTATATTTAGTGAAACTGACACTTTGTTTAAGATTTTTTGCACTGATTTTTATTTACATTCATACGGGGAGTGTGGTGCTTTTCATACGAATAATTTTGGGTCGAATTAACATGTACCTGAAAAAAGGTTTGTTTAATATTTCCATCCAGGTGGTAAAACATTTTCAAGCATTGTCATGTGAAATTTGGCCTACTACAGTGTAAGTTTTTACTTTGTTTATATATTTTTGCATCAAATTTAGTCTGTTGTGAATGCTTATTAGCATCAGGTAAATGAACTTATTGTTAACTATGCCTAATAAAATTGAGATTGTTGGAACATGCTGGAATTCACATTATTTCATGTACGTTGTCTGCAAATATTTTGCTTTCGTGATAAATTGAAAAAGCGAATTTCTGTGTATGTTTATGGGTGTTTCATACACACGCAGTATTTTTTATCGTGCAGTATTATATAAATACATAGCTGAATTGTGTAAATAACATTGTTTATTAAGATTCTTTGTAAAAATTCCTATGATTGTTTTTCATTAATTTGTAGCCCTTTACCACCTTAACATGAACACAAATTCAATACAGTTTACGAATCCATATGTTAAGTTCATTGTTTTATGGTTAACTGGCTGTGACGTCCACGACTATACCAGGACATATATTTAACTGAAATTGTTCCATAATAATCTTTCGTATAAAAACAACTATATATATTAATAACAACCCATGTCTGCTTAGATTTTTAAAATAACAA